GTAATTCTATATATATCCGGTGTTCCTCTCGGGAGTAATTCTATATGTACCCGGCGTTCCTCTCGGCAGTAATTCTATATGCACCGGTGTTCCTCTCGGCGGCAATTCTATATATATCCGGTGTTCATCTCGGCAGTAATTCTATATGTACCCGGTGTTCCTCTCGGCAGTAATTCTATATGCATCGGTGTTCCTCTCGGCGGCAATTCTATATATATCCGGTGTTCATCTCGGCAGTAATTCTAAATGTACCCGGCGTTCCTCTCGGTAGTAATTCTATATGTACCCGGCGTTCCTCTCGGTAGTAATTCTATATGTACCCGGTGTTCCTCTCGGCAGTAATTCTATATGTAACCGGTATTCCTCTGTGCAGTAATTCTATATGTACCGGTGTTCCTCTCGGCGGCAATTCTATATATATATCCGGTGGTCCTCTCGGCAGTAATTCTATATGTACCGGTGTTCCTCTCGGCGGCAATTCTATATATATCCGGCGTTCCTCTCGGTAGTAATTCTATATGTACCCAGTGTTCCTCTCGGCAGTAATTCTAAATGTAACCGGTGTTCCTCTCGGCAGTAATTCTATATGTACCAGTGTTCCTCTCGGCGGCAATTCTATATATATATATATCGGGTGTTCCTCTCAGCAGTAATTCCATATGTACCCGGTGTTCCTCTCAGCGGCAATTCTACATGTACCCGGCGTTCCTCTCTGTGGTAATTCTATATGTATCCGGCGTTCCTCTCTGTAGTAATTCTATATGTACCCGGTGTTCCTCTCGGCGGTAATTCTATATGTACCTGGCGTTCCTCTCTGTGGTAATTCTATATGTACCCGGTGTTCCCCTCGGCGGTAATTCTATATGTACCTGGCGTTCCTCTCTGTGGTAATTCTATATGTACCCGGTGTTCCTCTTGGCAGTAATTCTATATGAACCCGGTGTTCCTCTCGGCAGTAATTCTATATGTACCCGGCGTTCCTCTCAGCAGTAATTCTATATGTACCTGGTGTTCCTCTCGGGAGTAATTCTATATGTACCAGTGTTCCTCTCGGCGGCAATTCTATATATACATATATTTCGGGTGTTCCTCTCGGCAGTAATTCTATGTGTACCCGGTGTTCCTCTCGGGAGTAATTCCATATGTACCCGGTGTTCCTCTCAGCGGCAATTCTACATGTACCCGGCGTTCCTCTCTGTAGTAATTCTATATGTATCCGGCGTTCCTCTCGGCAGTAATTCTATATGACCCCGGTGCTCCTTTCGGCAGTAATTCTATATGTACCCGGTGTTCCTCTCTGTAGTAATTCTATATGTACCCGGTGTTCCTCTTGGCAGTAATTCTATATGTACCCGGTGTTCCTCTCGGCAGTAATTCTATATGAACCCGGTGTTCCTCTCGGAGGCAATTCTATATATATCCGGTGTTCCTCTCGGCAGTAATTCTATATGCACCGGTGTTCCTCTCGGCGGCAATTCTATATATATCCGGTGTTCCTCTCGGCAGTAATTCTATATGTACCAGTGTTCCTCTCGGCAGTAATTCTATATGTACCCGGTGTTCCTCTCGGCAGTAATTCTATATGTACCAGTGTTCCTCTCGGCAGTAATTCTATATGTACCAGTGTTCCTCTCGGCAGTAATTCTATATGTACCAGTGTTCCTCTCGTCGGCAATTCTATATATATATATATATATATATCAGGCGTTCCTCTCGGCAGTAATTCCATATGTACCCGGTGTTTCTCTCAGCGGCAATTCTATGTGTACCCGGTGTTCCTCTCGGTAGTAATTCTATATGTACCCGGTGTTCCTCTCGGTAGTAATTCTATATGTACCCGGCGTTCCTCTCGGTAGTAATTCTATATGTACCCGGTGTTCCTCTCGGCAGTAATTCTATATGAACCCGGTGCTCCTTTCGGCAGTAATTCTATATGTACCCGGCGGTCCTCTCTGTAGTAATTCTATATGTACCCGGTGTTTTCCTCTCGGCAGTAATTCTATATGAACCCGGTGTTCCTCTCGGCAGTAATTCTATATGTACCCGGCGTTCCTCTCAGAGTAATTCTATATGTACCCGGTGTTCCTCTCGGGAGTAATTCTATATGTACCTGGCGTTCCTCTCGGGAGTAATTCTATATGTACCTGGCGTTCCTCTCGGGAGTAATTCTATATGTACCCGGCGTTCATCTAGGGAGTAATTCTATAAGTACCCGGTGTTCCTCTCGGCAGTAATTCTAAATGTAACCGGTGTTCCTCTCGGCAGTAATTCTATATGTACCCGGTGTTCCTCTCGGAGGCAATTCTATATATATCCGGTGTTCCTCTCGGCAGTAATTCTATATGCACCGGTGTTCCTCTCGGCGGCAATTCTATATATATCCGGTGTTCCTCTCGGCAGTAATTCTATATGTACCAGTGTTCCTCTCGGCAGTAATTCTATATGTACCAGTGTTCCTCTCGGCGGCAATTCTATATATATATATATATATATATATATATATATATCAGGCGTTCCTCTCGGCAGTAATTCCATATGTACCCGGTGTTTCTCTCAGCGGCAATTCTATGTGTACCCGGTGTTCCTCTCGGTAGTAATTCTATATGTACCCGGTGTTCCTCTCGGTAGTAATTCTATATGTACCCGGTGTTCCTCTCGGTAGTAATTCTATATGTACCCGGCGTTCCTCTCGGTAGTAATTCTATATGTACCCGGCGTTCCTCTCGGCAGTAATTCTATATGTACCCGGCGTTCCTCTCGGCAGTAATTCTATATGTACCCGGCGTTCCTCTCGGCAGTAATTCTATATGTACCCGGTGTTCCTCTCGGCAGTAATTCTATATGACCCCGGTGCTCCTTTCGGCAGTAATTCTATATGTACCCGGTGTTCCTCTCTGTAGTAATTCTATATGTACCCGGCGTTCCTCTCGGGAGTAATTCTATATGTACCCGGTGTTCCTCTCGGAAGTAATTCTATATGTACCCGGTTTTCCTCTCCGGAGTAATTCTATATGTACCCGGCGTTCCTCTAGGGAGTAATTCTATATGTACCCGGTGTTCCTCTCGGCAGTAATTCTATATGTACCCGGTGTTCCTCTCGGAGGCAATTCTATATATATCCAGTGTTCCTCTCGGCAGTAATTCTATATGTACCCGGTGTTCCTCTCGGCAGTAATTCTATATGTACCAGTGTTCCTCTCGTCGGCAATTCTATATATATATATATATATATATATATATATATCGGGCGTTCCTCTCTGCAGTAATTCCATATGTACCCGGTGTTTCTCTCAGCGGCAATTCTATGTGTACCCGGTGTTCCTCTCGGTAGTAATTCTATATGTACCCGGTGTTCCTCTTGGCAGTAATTCTATATGTACCCGGTGTTCCTCTCGGCAGTAATTCTATATGTACCCGGTGTTCCTCTCGGTAGTAATTCTATATGTACCCGGTGTTCCTCTCGGTAGTAATTCTATACGTACCCGGCGTTCCTCTCGGTAGTAATTCTATATGTACCATATGCAATAATCCCAGGTACTCTCTCAGCCCCCCTCCCCCCATCCATTACCTTAGGGTCTGCACAGTGCTGTGTGGGGCCCTATAGGAGGCGGTATAGAGGAGCCCAGCGTTGCTATGGTAACCCCCTTGTCCTATAGAGCCCCCCGGCCTCCAGCCATAGGCCACAGCGGGACACGCAGCCTCTTCCCCTCCCTCCGGCCCGCAAAGCCTCTGATACAGCTAGCACCTTGTCCCAACCGGAACTTCCGGCCCGTCTCCTCCGTCCTGTGACAGAACTCCCCCGGCAGGCCAAGCTCCCAGCGATTTGACAGGGATGTCTTCACTTTCCGTGGCGGGGAGGACATTTTGTCGGAGGCCAGCTTCCTGTTAGTCTTAGGCCGGAGACGTAACCATCATGGCTGAATTATGGAGACAGATATTGTGAAGGAATTTGATCTCTAGCGTCTGGAGCATTGCCAGCTGTGATTGCCTGCCTTTGCAAAGCCAGGGCAGGGCTAAGCCAATAGAAGAGCTGATGGAGGTGGAACGCAAATCGGCGCTGGAACGCACACGTGACTGGTAGAAGGCGCTCTCTGCGAACTTCCAGCTGGTAAGAGTGTCGCTATTCCATTGCCAACCCTATTGATGGCAATGGAACTGTTCTAATCAGTGCAGCTCCGACCCAGTCAGAGTCACACCGATTTCGAATGTAGTTCCTGGTCTACTTTTGGCGATTTTGGGTGCGATTTGCGTAGACATCTGTGCATGAAGGCGCATGGATGTCATACAGGTCGCACCTGAAGTCACTCCAAGTGACGTCGCACAGATGTCATACAGGACGCACCTGAAGTCACTCCAAGTGACGTCGTACGGGTCGCACCTTAAGTCACTCCTAGTGACGTCGCACAGATGCCGTACAGGACGCACCTGAAGTCACTCCGAGTGACGTTGCACGGATGTCGCACAGGTTGCACCTGAAGTCACTCCAAGCGATGTCGCACGGATGTCGTATCTGAAGTCACTCCAAGTGACGCCGCACGGATGTCGTACGGGTCGCACCTGAAGTCACTCTCAGTGACGTCGCACGGATGTCGTACAGGTCGCACCTGAAGTCACTCCAAGTGGCGTCGCACGGATGTCCTACAGGTGGAACCTGAAGTCACTCCAAGTGACATCGCACAGGTTGCACCTGAAGTCACTCCAAGTGACGTCGCACGGATGTCGTACAGGTCGCACCTGAAGTCACTCCAAGCGATGTCGCACGGATGTCGTATCTGAAGTCACTCCAAGTGGCGTCGCACGGATGTCCTACAGGTGGAACCTGAAGTCACTCCAAGTGACATCGCACAGGTTGCACCTGAAGTCACTCCAAGTGACGTCGCACGGATGTCGTACAGGTCGCATCTGAAGTCACTCCAAGTGAAGTCGCACGATTTCAAAGTGTGAACCCGGGCTTACTCTTTATGCTTCCTTTGCGCAGAGGGGAGAGGCGACCCAGGAAAATGGCGCTGACCTCCAGTCTCTTCCAGTGCGGAGATCCGAAAAAGTGGCAGCAAGTTTCTGATGTCTACTGGGAGGTGGTGGAGGCTGTGGGGGCCAAGAAGAAGCGATTAGTGGAGCTGGACAGATGGTGAGTTCAAAGGGTCCTTAGTAGTGATGGGCCGAACACGCCCCCCCCCCCCCCCGAACCTACAGAATGTTCTACCACGAACTTCGAACACGAACAATTTACTGAGCGGTATCTTACTGCATCTGAGGGTGTGGCCTGATACCGCTCAGCTACTAAAATACTGCATGAGTTCTAGTAGTGACATTCATTCGTGTCTCAGCTGTCCGTGGGATTCCCCGCTGACAGCTGAATGTCAAAAGAATTGTCCAACAATTGAAAACAAAATACAAAAAGACGGTGTGGGGTCCCCCCTCCCATCCATACCAAGCCCTTCAAGTCTGGTATGGATTTTTAGAGGAACTCCCCATGCCAAAATTTAAAAAAAAATGGCGTGGGGATCCCCCCCAAAATCCATACCAGACCCTTAACCAAGCATGCAGCCCGACAGGTCAGGAAATGGGGGTGAACAAGCGCCCCCCTCCTGGACCATATCAGGCCACATGCCCTCAACATGTGGGGGGGTTGTTTTGGGGGGCTCCCCCCCAAAGCTCCTTGTCCCCATGTTGATGGGGACAAGGGCCTCTTCCCCACAACCCTGGGCTGTGGTTGTGGGGGTTTGCAGGCGGAAGGGGCCCCCAGATCCCGCCCCATGTGAATGAGTATGGGGTACATGGTAAAAAAAAATAAAAAAGTGTAGTGTAAAAAAAACAGGAGATAGTTTTTGACAAGTCCTTTATTAAAAAGAAAAGTTAAAAAAATGTCCCCCGAAGTAGATCCAACGTCAATCACGATGGCCGCCACCGACCCGAAAAAAAACAAAAGTGCTTCACTCGTGATGTTTGTTACCGCCACATGACAGCTGCACCCAGATGACAGTTCTTCAATACTGTCATGATGTCACAAGGCGGCAGGATTCACCCCCTTATGACGTCATCCTGTGCTGTGATTGGCCAAAGCATTGCGCCTGACCTGCAGTGCACTGCGGGACGATGCCTGGAGGGGGTGAGCCTGCAGCTCCGGGAGCCCTCCACAAGGTATGGGAACATATGTAGGTGGGGATCAGGCGTATGCGTTTTAGAGTCAGTGCAGGATCACCCTAGCTCTGTGTAGTAATAATAATGGCTGTACACATGTGCAGGGTCCAGGAGGAGCTGCCGAAGACCATCTCTGCACGTGCTCAGAGATCCCTGAAGCAGGAGGAGTTGGTGAAGCTGATGGAGTGGAAGCTGCTGGTGAGCCATTCATGACCTGGACAGAAGTGACGTGTGTGCGTGCGTGCGTATGTGCGTGCATATATGTGTGTGTGCATGCGTGGGACTCTTGCTGCTTTGACTGTGACAGTATAGCTGAAGTTTGGTGCCCGGTCACACTGCTCCGATTTGGGAATTGAAATCGCATCTAATGAATGTGAATGTCGGTGTCTTTAACACGTGCGATCTGCTGCGGCGCGATTTCATAAGTAGTTCTGGAATGACTTTTTCTGCAGTTTTGCGATTTCACATCCATAGAATATAATGGAAATCACACTGAAAATTGCAAGAAATCGTTGAATGTCTTCACAAGTCGCAATAAAGTCCTCAGAAATCGCACAATTTTACATCAGCGGTGTTAGCGGTGGCTTAAAGCGGTTGTAAAGGCTGAAAGTTTTATTACCTTTGTGCGTTCAATGCAGCAGCCCCCCCAATACTTACCTGAGTCTCATCGCGATCTGATTGACAGCCTTGACCAGGGGCAGACTGACAACTCATGGGGCCCCCGGGCAATAGGGGATCATGGGGCCCCTGTGTCCTTGCCCAAACTCAAAAAAGCCTATGAAAAAGGTACCAGGGGCATCTCATGGGGCCCCCTACTGACCCCGGGCCCTCGGGCAGTGCTCGAGTTTCCAAATGGTCAGTCCACCGCTGGCCTCGACTATCATGGGTCTCTGCCTCCTCATTGGCTGAGACAGTAATTGGGAGCCATTGGCTCCCACTGCTGTCACTCACAGCTAGTCAGCCAATGAGGAGAGAGGGAGTGGGTGGGGCCAAGCCATTGCTCCATGGGCAAAATGGTTAGCACCTCCGCCTAGCAGTACTCGGGTCATCGGTTAGAATCCCAGACACAGCACCTCCTGCCTGGAGTTTGCATGTTCTCCCTGTGCGGGCATGGGTTTCCTCTGGGTACCCCAGTTTCCTCCCACACTCCAAAGACATGCTGGAAGGTTAATTGGCTCCTGTCTAAATTGTCCCTAGTATGTGTATGTATGAATGTGAGTTAGTGACCTTAGATTGTACACCCCTTGAGGGTTAGGGACTGATGTGAATGTACAATATATATGTAAAGCGCTGCGTACATTGATGGCGCTATAAAAGTACCTGAAATAAATGTGTGAATGGGCACAGGGAGCAGCAGGTGCCCCCATAGCAAGCTGCTTGTTGTGGGGGCACCCGACAGGAGGGAGGGGCCAGGAGAGCCTGCGGGGGACCCGAGAAGAGGAGGATCTGGGCTGCTCTGTGTCACTGCACACAGCAGGTAAGTATAGACATGTTTGTAATTTTAAAAAAAAAATTTAAATGAACCTTCAGAATCGCTTTATTCTGCTTATGTTTTGCCTTCCCTCTTTCCTCTCGCTCCCCTTCACCAACATGCAAATGTACTTTTCAAATAAATCCCTTCAGTTTTTGTACTAAATACCTTATTGTAGATCATCACTGGGTCCCTGTTCTTCTCTATGCAATGTAGGCAGATCATGGCTGGTGGTAGGGGCTGGCAGGGTGCTGTACACATAGCTTCCTGAAAACATCACCACACCCTGCCTCAGTACTCCACTCAAGAGACCTCATTTCTGATGCAAGCAGTGGGAGGGATTATGCAAATATCAATATACCTTGACAGGTGGATGTCATTCTGGAGGAGAGGGTGTTCATGGTCAGACTGCATTTGCATATTATAGGTGCAACAGCCTATACTCGGATTTCACTGCATGCTGTGAGCTTCTCACAGTGTTCACTAAAAGCCGAAAACCCTGACGGTAGAACCTGCCTCATTTCCTGCCTGGAGGATGTCCAGCATCATCTAGCTCTTTCCTCCCCTGACTGACCCTAGCCCTGCCCCTTTCATTCATTGGATTTCAGTTCTGTCAATCATGGAGGCTCAGCATCACATGTGGGCGTTGCCCAGGGTGGTCTGCATGCAAGCACTGCCTGTCTAGGAACACCCATTCCTCCAGACTGACATCCACCTATTTACATCTCTCCTCGCAAGAGCCAGCCCACTGCTTGCATCAGGGCTCTGAAGAGGAAGCTATATACAACAAACTGCTGGCCCCTCCCACCAACCATGATCTGCCTGCATTAAATAGAGAAGCACAGAGACCCAGTGATGACATCACTGTATCTAAAAGAAGATCTGTAATGAAAACAGGTTTTGTACAAACATTTGATTGGCATGTTGATGAAGTGTGAGAGGAGGAGCCAAGGGGTGGGGTATATGCCGAGGAAACTTCAGTTTTGAAAGGTGAATTGTGCAATTATTGTGTAGTGCGCCTCCTAGTGGAGTCAGCTGGAGCCTCTTTTCTTTCAGAGGGGGAAGTTCCGCCCTCGTTTACAGCAGATGGCGGCCTCTAACCCGGAGAGTACAGTGGAGAGCTGCACCAGGAAAGCCTTCCAGTGTCTCCCCAATGTCTCTGCGGCTATAGAAGAACTGTGCCAGCTGAAAGGCATTGGACCCGCCACGGCCTCCGGTGAGTATGTGAAGCCAATCAGGGCCCAGCCACAGGGTCAGAATGACCTATTACTGCTTTCCTTACTGCGCAGCAACCTTGAGCTGATCACCTAGGCCAGGGATGGGCAACTGTAGCCCTCCAGCTGTTGGTGAACTACAAATCCCATCATGCCTCTGCCTTTGGGAGTCATGCTTGTAACTGTCAGTTTTGCAATGCCTCATGGGACTTGTAGTTCTACAACAGCTGGAAGGCCACAGTTGCCCACCCCTGACCTAGGCCATCCAATATCATGATAGAAAAATGCACATGCAGAGATTACATTCAGTGAAGACCAGTGAGTTCTGCAGATCCAGAGATACAAGCAGCTAAAGTCATGTGCGGATCTCTACTTGTCCTGCAAATTCTGCCTGGCCCCACCCAGTGCTGGGACAAGGTCATCTAGCGCCCAGGGCGAAGATGCCAAACAGTGCCCCCCCCCCCCTTCCAATGTATGAGCATTATGTGTCAGCAAAAATTCCCCCCCCCCCCCCAAAAAAAAATTCAAGAGCTATAGGAGCCTAGAAATGCCTCTGGCTGTCAGATTGCCACTGCGTAGTGTTTGCTTGCCCGCCCCCTACCCATGTTCTTTGCTGGAAGGGGAAGATAAACACTGCACAGTGGGGATCCGGCAGTCCCGATCCAGGAGAGCTGCAATGGCAGGAGGAGGAGCTGGAGGGAAGAGAGAGCACAGCCTGTCCCTCCTCCCGGCTCACTCCTCTCCAGATCTGGCTTGTCTCCTCCATTGCAGAGCTGACAGGAGTAGAGAAGCTGGCATCACTACTCCTGTCAGCTTGTAGGTAGGAACTCTCTAGGTCAGGGGTAGGCAACCTGCGGCTCTCTAGCTGTTGTGGAACTACATTTCCCATGAGGCATTGCAAAGGTTACAAAACTGACAGTTACAGCTCTGACTTGCAGAGGCATGATGGAACTTGTAGTCCTGCGACTCTCAGGTTGCCTACCCTTGCTCTATGCAGCGCAGTTAAACGTTCCTCTCCTGAACGCAGAAGAATTGCATTCAGGAGAGGAACGTTTTGGCCAAAAAATGCTAAATGCAGCAAAAATGTGTATAAATGTGTCTAAACGCTAACCACTTTTAGCGGTTGGGCATTTATTCATGTCAGTGGAAAATACTCTGATCAATCAAATGAATAAACTTCCAAAAGCTAGACGCTGTACCGCGATTATGCGAGTTTCTGCTGCGTTTAGCGTTTTTCTGCTGCCAGGAGAGCTAAAGGTCTAGGGGAGTTCATGTGTACATGAGGCCTAAGATGAGTAACGCCAAGCTAAACAAACATTGAGGAGGAGCTTCCTATAATAAAGACCGCTCACTGGTGCTCTCTCTTCTTGTGCAGAGTGACTGGTCTTGTCTCCGCCCTCTTCTCTAGTGGGTGGGCAATGCCAGGCCCCTCCCACAGCTCTGCTCTCTGCACAGGCTATGTACAGCACAGTGATGATGTCACTGCTACTTTTACCCGGTAATAGCTGGGTATCCAAAGGCATTTGGTGCACACAGAGTGTATTTCTATCCACTTGAGGAATATATTTAAATTAAATATTTGTGCCCGGAGTTCAGCTTTAACCACCTCCCGTCCGGCCATTGTATATAAACGGCTGGATGGTGGTAGTGCAGGGTCAGGTGGCCGTTTATAAATGGCCTCCCCGCCCCCTGCTTGGGAGCACGCAGCACTGTAATCCGGTGCCCGCTGTGTCCTCCAGACACAGTGGAATACCGATCGTCATACAGGACCTCTGTGTGAGGTCCCGATGATGTGATCACTGATTGGCCAATCAGTGATAACATGAAGAGTAGTAAACAAGATGTCATTTCTGCCATCATTGCTTACTACGTGTGAAATCTGTGAATGATCACAGAGATCACATGGTACAGGGCTATTCACAACAGCCTTGTACCATGTGGCAAGCTGTGACCAATCACAGCTCACTCAGTAGTTCTCAATGGCTGCAAGAATGCAGCCAGAGAGAAGGAGAAATTATTGCTTTTACAGCCTTTATGGGTGTAAAAAAAAAAAAAAAAAATCGTCATCACCCCCCAAAAGCAGTACAGTGTCACCATGGTGACACTGTACTGCTAGGGCAGTGGTCGGCAAGCCGCGGCTCGCGAGCCACATGCGGCTCTTTACAAACTTAAATGCGGCTCTTCTGTGTGCCGGGCGCCCGCTCCCCTCCCTCCTCTCGGGCGGCCGCCCCAAAAGTCAGGACTCTGCAGCTGTCAGGATGTAGGCGGGGCAGCGTGACGAACTCCTCTCCTCTCACAGTCCGCCCTGAAGACCGGAACGGCGCGGGAACACGGCGAGAAGAACACGCGGAGCAAAGGTAAGTGAATTGACACAGGGGGGACTTAATATGGGGGATGAATTACTATGGGGAATGAATTACTATAGGGGGGATGAATTAATATGGGGAATTAATTACTATAGGGGGGATGAATTACTATATGGGGGATGAATTACTATATGGGGATGAATTACTATATGGGGGATGAATTACTATATGGGGGATGAATTACTAGGGGGGATGAATTACTATATGGGGGATGAATTACTATATGGGGGATGAATTACTATAGGGGGGATGAATTACTATATGGGGGATGAATTACTATAGGGGGGATGAATTACTATGGGGGATGAATTACTATATGGGGGATGAATTACTATGGGGGATGAATTACTACTATATGGGGGATGAATTACTATATGGGGGATAAATTACTATGGGGGATGAATTACTATATGGGGGATGAATTACTATATGGGGGATAAATTACTATGGGGGATGAATTACTATATGGGGGATGAATTACTATATGGGGGATGTATTTTCAGTTTTAAAAATGTGGCTCTCAAAATAAATTTCAATCGTGGTTTTGGCGAGATTTGGCTCAGTTGAAAAAAAAGGTTGCCCACCACTGTGCTAGGGTGACAGTATGTAAAAAAAAACCCATAAATAATAATAATATAAAAAAAATAAGAATGTAAAAAAACTTTTAAAAAATTATAATTTTTGGTTCTAAACTAATTTGGGTTATTTTTTTTTACTAAAAAGATAACTGAATACATTTTGGCCAAGGTATATGATGAAATATTATTTATTTGCAAAATGTTTCAGAAAAACACTTTTTTCAAAATGTTTGGACTTTTTCATTTATATAGCAAAAAAAAAAATAAAAATCCCAGTGGTGAATAAATACACCAAAATAAAGCTTTATCTGTCTCAAAAATGGATACAGTGTTGCATGACCGCGCAATTGTCATTCAAAGTGTGACAGCGCTGAAAGCTGAAAATTGGCCTGGGCAGGAAGGGGGTGAAAGTATCCGGACTGGAAGTGGTTAAGATAAACCAGCTGTTAGTGACGACCGCATTGACCTTTTCCTTTATGTGCTCCCATATAGCTGTCCTGTGTGCCGGGGCCCCGGAATCTGCGGCCTTCATGGCAGACGAAGCTGTGGAGAGTGTGCCCGGTCTGGTACCCATCCAGTACAACCTGAAACATTACCTGAAATACCTGGAGGAGATCCGCAAGAAGGCCGAGACCTTGAACGCAGGTGATGGGGCTATGAAAGTGGCCGTGTGCTGAGAGCTGCAGGAGCCTCTCAATGTTCACAGCTATAGTTTGAAGGTTTCATTTACCTTTACAGATAAAATGTAAAGATGAACTAACACCAGACACCCCCCCCCCCCCTTCAGTCACCCCTATACTTACCTTAGTCACCGGTCACACCGCTGCAATTTAAATTCGCTCGATTTGTGTGCAATTTCGGCACAATTTCAGATGCGATTTCTGAAGTCTACTGCTACTTGTGAAGATTTTAAATGTTTTTTTGCAATTTGCACTGCGATTTCCATTCTATTCTATGTATGTGTGTGATGGGAGTGACTTTGGGTGGGGGGCCCATGGAACCCAGCTCACTTTGGAGAGGTGGGGAGACCCCTGTCTCAGATTCCCATATCCCTCTTATGTGTAAGTCACCCTGTGCCTGTTAGGGGTACAGGGTGATCTGTCCTAATATTGTGTAGACATGTTTAGGAGATATAAATAATATCTTTTCAATGCTCCCTCTATCACACCCCCAACAGTTCCCCTCATAAATAGTGCAAAAACATATATCAACAAATGTCCACATATAGTGCTTTTTCAAACGTTGAGGACTAATCCACTTTGCTGCTCTTCAATCCAAGACACCCAAATCAGGATACCTCAAAAAAAATATAAACTAAATATAGTACATTATCGTTTCAACAGAAAAGAACACTCGTGAGACTAAAAGAGATTCCTCCTACACTCCCACCCGTGACAAGTCAACACTCCAAAAAAATGTGATTCAGTGCAACACTCCACAACCAGTGTCACCATCCAAATGTAATGAAAACCATTACCCTCTCATGGATGATGAGGACTACTAGTGATCACATGCATCAAAAATGAGTAGTGCCATCACTCTTGTGGTATAAAATACCATTACCCTCTTCAAATGCAGACCAAGCAAAAACTCCTTCAAGGCAATACAAAATATCCCCCTCTCCGGAAGCTTCCTGCTGCTTCCAATCCACCTTCCCCGTTCCTCAAAGGGGCAGATAATATAAGACTCAGTGGAGTATATAAAAAGGAATTCATAAATTTATTCACAGCTTACATAGAAAACGCCAACGTCCATCCTCTCCCACAGTCCATATAGCTGAACTCCAGTAGCAAAGATGGCCGTGCCGCTCCTTCCGGTTTGAAGTTCTAGTGTTACATCCTTACGTACTGACGCGTTTCGTCACTTCCGACTTTTTCACAAGGGTTCCGGACATCTAATGTGTGGCTCCTCTTATCCTACTCTCAGCACTGGCAAAGAGAGCGAGCCTCCATCTTCACTAATGGCAACACCCACCACTTCCTATACCTTCTAGATACGGCTTCGATATACGGAAAGGCGGACTACAATCACATTAAAATACATTTAAAAAACAACTCTATATATAAACATTCACCTAGGTGATCATACTTTTAGTTACCTAAAGGGGATAAACAATATAAATATAGGGAACATATCCACCAACCCTCCTGCTCCCCCTATTGCTCGAAAATTCTACAGCAACAAATTACCACATCCTACTACCCACTCATAACTTCCATTCCTGATGGCATTAATATTAATAAATATAAATATTAATATTAATGCCATCAGGAATGGAAGGTTTGGTGGATATGTTCCCTATATTTATATTGTTTATCCCCTTTAGGTAACTAAAAGTATGATTACCTAGGTGAATGTTTATATATAGAGTTGTTTTTTAAATGTATTTTAATGTGATTGTAGTCCTCCTTTCCGTATATCGAAGCCGTATCTAGAAGGTATAGGAAGTGGTGGGTGTTGCCATTAGTTAAGATGGAGGCTCGCTCTCTTTGCCAGTGCTGAGAGTAGGATAAGAGGAGCCACACATTAGACGTCCGGAACCCTTGTGAAAAAGTCGGAAGTGACGAAACGCGTCAGAATGTAAAGGACGTTACACTAGAACTTCAAACCGGAAGGAGCAGCACGGCCATCTTGGATACTGGAGTTCAGCTATATGGACTGTGGGAGAGGATGGACGTTGGCGTTTTCTATGTAAGCTGTGAATAAATTTATGAATTCCTTTTTATATACTCCACTGAGTCTTATATTATCTGCCCCTTTGAGGAACGGGGAAGGTGGATTGGAAGCAGCAGGAAGCTTCCGGAGAGGGGGATATTTTGTATTGCCTTGAAGGAGTTTTTGCTTGGTCTGCATTTGAAGAGGGTAATGGTATTTTATACCACAAGAGTGATGGCACTACTCATTTTTGATGCATGTGATCACTAGTAGTCCTCATCATCCATGAGAGGGTAATGGTTTTCATTACATTTGGATGGTGACACTGGTTGTGGAGTGTTGCACTGAATCACATTTTTTTGGAGTGTTGACTTGTCACGGGTGGGAGTGTAGGAGGAATCTCTTTTAGTCTCACGAGTGTTCTTTTCTGTTGAAACGATAATGTACTATATTTAGTTAATATTTTTTTTGAGGTATCCTGATTTGGGTGTCTTGGATTGAAGAGCAGCAAAGTGGATTAGTCCTCAACGTTTGAAAAAGCACTATACATGGACTCATATGTGGACATTTGTTGATATATGTTTTTGCACTATTTATGAGGGCAACTGTTGGGGGTGTGATAGAGGGAGCATTGAAAAGATATTATTTATATTTTATTTACACTTTCGAGGGTGAGAGTGATACTTTTCGTAGGGATATATAGAGTTTAAATTATATCTATGTTTAGGAGATAGGTGGGGGTTGTGGTTTAATGTTATGTGTATTAGCTTAGTGGGGGGGGGGTGTTTCCAGCAGCCCTCCCTCCTGATGGGACTGTCTGCTGGTGTGAAGTTTGAATACCTGTGTGTCTCTTGTTACTAAATGTAGATTGTCCCGCCCTGTGTCATTATGCAGGGAGGGGGGACTGTCCCTTGAGTGTATATATCTTGTATCTGTGTTCAAATAAACTAGTCTACCTTCTGGTTTACTTCAAGACTGGTGATGTCCAGTCATGTATGGTCGTCTGTGGTGTCTGTTGTCAGTGTTCGGACGGGAAGCGGTATTCTAACAGAAGTACTCAAGGGCAGTCTGGGTCGGTTCTGTTATAATGTAAAATTGCAATAAAACTTCAGAAAAAGTCATGCATGAAATACTTTAGAAATCGCACTGCAGCAAATGTTAAGACACCGACATTCACATTCAGTAGATGCGATTTCAGGTGTGATTTCAATTCCCAAATCGCACCGGTATGACCGACGACTTGGGGTTGCTGAGCTATCAGCACTGTGCGGCCGGTCCAGAGGTCTGGGGATTTGAAATCCCTTCTCTCTCTTCTCTGTGCAGCACTTCAGGAAAGATCAACAAATCGATCTGGTCTGTCCCACACAGAAAAGAGTAAGGAGAGCATGGATTTCAAATCCCCAGACCGCTGGACCGACTGCGGAAGGGCCAACAGGCTTAGAATTGCTGGAGGTAAGTACATTGAGGACCAGGGGAGAGGAGATGGTGTGGGGGAGGGTATCCAGTGGTACCCTCTGACAGACAATATGGGGAGAAGTTTCCCTGTACTGTCAGATTTGAAAACAGCGCAGCCATGCGGGACTCCGCCCACACGACCACGTCACTCATTCACAGAGTTCTGTTAATGAGTGCCTACAAGTCTCAGGAGTCTTAGCGGCTATCGGCTTGTAGTTTTCAATGAACTACCACGGTGCTGTGGTAGTGCATTGACGCTTCCTGTCAGAATATCTGCTTGACCGTACATACCATACATTCTATACATCCCCTACACCCCGCACATCCCCTACACCCCGCACATCCCCTATACCCCGCACATCCCATACACCCCGTACATCCCATACATTCTATACATCCCCTACACCCCGTACATCCCCTACACCCCGCACATCCCCTATACCCCATATATGCCATACACCCCGTACATCCCCTACACCCCATACATCCCCTACACCCTGTACACGCCGTACATCCCCTACACCCACTACTACCCGTACATCCCCTACACCGCATACATCCCCTACACCCCGCATACATCCCCTACACCCCGTACATCCCCTACACCCCGTACATCCCCTACACCCCATACATCCCGTACATCCTGCACAGCAAGCAGATATTCTGACAGGTCTTCAGGAGACATGCATGGCATCAGCAATCTATTGATTGCTGCTGCAATGCTTTCCAGGCTCCTTTGGACAAAAATAATAAATGCACATTTTTATACCTGCAAAAAAATGTGCATTTATTATTTTTTTCCAAAAAGGTGAACTTATCCTTTAAAAAAAAAAAAACCTAATGGGGAACTAACCCGTCCCCACTCTATCCAAAACTAAATTAAACCTTTTGACTGGAGTTGGGCTTTAAGGGTAGCCTGAGAAGATGTTATGGTGCAATGTTTCCTGTAAAACACGGATTGATTTGTGTCAGGCTGCTAATGGATCAGACAAGACGGATGTGTTTTAGAACCGCAAACTCTGATAGAAGTCACATACAGGTATTATACTGATGGCCGCTAGATGGCAGCACAGTGTAGCGCAGCTAAACCCAAAACCAGAAAACTGTACCTTCTCGCCCTCCAGAGGATTCCCCCCTCTTCCTGACCAGACCATTTTTTGCCATACAGCGCTGCATTACTTTAACTGAAAATTGTGCGGTCATGCATCACTGTACATAAATTACATTTATGTCCTTTTTTTCCCACAAATATAGCTTTCTTTCGGTGGTGTTTAATCACCTTTGCGCTTTTATTTTTTTTCGCTATAAACAAAAAAAGACAGATCAACCAATAGTTTTGACTTTTTGCTATAAAACAACATGTCCAATAGAAAAATTTAAAAAATCTAATTTCTTTATAAATTTAGCCAAAATGTATTCTGCTCCGTGTCTTTGTTAAAGTTAAAGAAATTCTGAAGGATCCTCTGCACACTGGTATATACTGGTATATACCCTTTAAAGCAAAATCCCAATACATGTAAATTAACTGGTTTATGTGAAAGTTATAGCATCTACAAATGGTGGTATATATACTGGGATTCTAATTTTTTTTTATACTAGTAATGGCGGCGATTAGTGACTTATAGTGGGACTGCGGCGGGCATTCTGACATTGTAGGGGAACTGACTTGGTGCCACTTGACATCCCCAGTGACACTTATACAGTGATCAGTGCTAATAAAAAGCACTGACACTGTACTAATGACACTGGGCAGGAAGGGGTTAACATCTGGGGTGATCAAAGGGTTAACTGTGTGCTGTTTTGCTGTGTGTGTTTTACTAGGGAAACAGTCTGTGCAGCTCTGGGTTTTTTATTTTTTGTGATATAAATGAAAAAAGACCGAGAATTTTGGGAAGAATAAAGTATATTTTTTACTTTCTGTTATGGAACCTATCCAATAAAAAAAATAAATTAAAAATCAAATCTCTTCATAAATTTAGGCCAAAATGTATTCTGCTGCATGTCTTTGGTTAAAAAAAAACCAAAACAATAAGTGTATGTTTATTGGTTTGTGTGAAAGTTATACAAGTCTACAAACTATGTTATATGTACTGGAATTTACGTAGCTAAAGACTCTACAGGTAATGGCGATGATCAGCGACTTATAGTGGAACTGTGATAGGGTGGTGGCCAATCTGATGCTAACTGACACTGACATCACTAGTGACACTAATTCAATGATAATACTGTACACTGACACTGTACTAATGACACTGGCTGGGAAGGGGTTAACATCTAGGGGCAATCAATGGGTTAAATATGTGCCTAACAGTGTGTGATATGTGCTGCCTTTACTTTTCTATCCGGATGTTTTTTTTCCCTGCTTTGCAGGGGGAAAAAACATCCAGATCAGTGTACAGAGCCCTGTGTGTTTGTAAACAAAGGGCTCTGGGATGTGATTGGACCCAGCTGATCAGCAGGTCTCAGACATAAATCATTGGCCCGGGACCTGCTGACAAAATTGTGCTGTTGTCCAACCACAGCGCAGCCAGCAGCAGGCAAGCCAGGAGAGCACTGCCAATGTACAGCTACATGATTTGGTGGGGCTGAGCCAATCACCTGCAGTATAACTACTGTGGGCTGGCAGGAGGGGTTGAGCGCTCAATCACATGGGTGCAACAGGCCATGCAACATAAAAAAACCGGCCATTCTTGTGTGTCGTGGAGTCACAGGAGTTGCATATAGCGACCTGTACAATTCAGTGACAGTATGTTGCTGTGCAATGGTAATTACAGATCTCAGCATATACAGTATGTGCATACAGGCCGCATCCTGAGGTGTAGGGGGGACATCGCGGGAGCGAAGAACAAGGCAAGTGAAACAGGGATCCCGGAGCAACGCCGAGCTACACTCGGGAATACCGCCAGGGAGGTTAAGCTTTTAAAATAAAACCTGGAAGCTGATTGGTTTCTATGCAGAGCTGCACCAGATTTTGCACGATCAGATTTAGCAAATAACCCCCTAGGTGTTCCTTTGGCTAACTGATCTCCCATCTGGTGGTGCCTGCATAGTTTCAGGTCCAACATCACTTGGCATAGCCAGTGAGGGTGGCATTCTGGCCACCACTGCAAGTGGGGCATTGTTCCCACTAACCCCTACCAATGTATGGGACATTTTCCCAATATTTGGATGGACAAATCTTCAGGGTTTCCGAGGCCTGAAAATTATTTCAAGGGTTCCTCTGGGGTAAAAAAAAAGGTTGAGAAAATCTGATATTGAGAAACAATGGTTGTCACCTTGAGCTGCTCTCATTTTTTGGACTACAAGCACATATTTTTATCTCCATTACATGGTGGGGGGGCAGGAGAATAAGTACTCACAAGAAAAAGCTGGGAACGTAGATCCCTGTCCTCCAACAAGCCTGCACTCTGCCGTCTCCCTTCTGCAGTCTTACAGGCACTTGCTGGAAGTGGACAACTCTTTGAAAGTGGAATTTGTCTCTTGCAGATTCAGAGGAGAGGAATTGGACCCCTCATCGAGTGGAGCTGTGTCTGTGGGCATGGAAAGTCGGACAGAAGTTGTGCCCTAAAGTCCTGGAGAACCTGGAAGATGCAGATGAAAGACCGGCGAAAAAACTAAAGACAAAGTAGTGATTACCCCGACACCTCCCAGCCCTCTAGGAGCTTCTAGATTCTGGGATGCGGAGGTGGGCGTTCAGGACATGTGACCACTGGGATTGGCTCTCACAGCGGTCACATTGGCAATTATGCATCGGGAGCTTACCAATCCCTGCAGGCTACCGTGCTGGGAGTGTGTAGGGAGCGTGCTCTCAGCACAGTAAGTTGTTTATACAGGGCAGCATTTATGTGGCCCCTCAGCGTTAGGGCCCACTAGCCGAGAGGCCGCATACATGCGTACAGCCGGTGTGAAGAGGTTAAGTAGGAGAGGCCATGTATTTTATTACTGCATCATGAATCCCATAAGTTGTTATTTCCTAGAGAACTGATTGGCTAGGTATTCTGCCCTGCATTGGCAAAGCACAGGTTCACATTAAATCCAATGGGATGTCACTGGCATGTAATGGTTGTTGGTAAATTCATGGAACAGCCAATCAAGCTGTTACTGCATGTACATCCTCAGGGGCGGGGAGCAAGAGGATGGCATACCCACAAAGCCATAGATTCTAATACTGTCAATGAAAGGTCTCAAGCTTGTGTGGGCTTCCTCTGGGTACTCTGGTTTCCTCTTTTGCTCTGTCTAAATTGGCCGTAGTATGTGTGTGAGTAAAGGACCTTAGATTGTACGTTCCTTGAGGGCGGGGACTGATGTGAATGTACAGTACATGTAAAGCTCTGCGTAAATTGTTGGCGCTGTATAAATACCTGTAATAAATAAAAGTATCTGTTAATAGTTTATTGGATTAAAACTTCAGGGAAAGAAAAATTGTTCTAAATTTACAAACAGGAAGCGATTTTTGTACAGCATGTCGATTTTATTTACTCTTAAAGCAGTCATTATCCCATTGTACAATACCCCTTGTCCTCTTCCCAAATAAACAGAAAATGACCGGCTAATAAAAATAACCACCATGGTACAACACAATCATATTTATAGAAAATAAACATTTTCTAAAAGATTTCATCCCACTTATACCTGTTTAGAGGTTCAACTCATCTTTGTATTTTGGCACTTTTTTCGGTATTTGTGGGGCCTAGTTTGGGGGAACAGTTTTCTGTCCTTTCTCTAAAGCCTCCTCAGTTATAGTTTTTTTTAATACAATAATACATATTTAATCTCAGTCTCTTTTTCTTTAATTACATATTGCTTTCTAAATAATTTTTGAATAGTTTTGTCTGTGTAAATAATTCTGTAACTAATAAATAAATCTCATTTGTTGTTAACTTTTATGTTTGTAAAAGTGCTGTTTGGCCTAAGTGGCCCAATCTACTTCAGATCCAAGATGGCTGTCACATGGGCCAACATAATCTACATAGCTTTGAAAGGCCTATTTGCTGGGTCCAAATTTAAGAGGTACTATAGGTCTGGCTGTCTTATAAAGATTTATATAAATAAAGTTCATTTGGTGTTAACTTTTATATTTTTAAAAGTTCTGTTTGGCCTAAGCAACCACATGGCCCAGTCTACTTTGGATCCCAGATGACTGTCACATGAGCCAACCTAATCTACATAGCTTTGAAAGGCCTATAAACCCGCTGCTGGGTCCAAATGTAAGAAGTACTATAGGTCTGGCTGTCTTATAAAGATTTATATAAATAAAATTCATTTGTTGTTAACTTTTATATATTTAAAGGTTCTGTTTAGCCTAAGTGACCGCATGGCCCAATCTACTTTGGATCCAAGATGGCTGCCACATTAGCCAAAGTAATCTACGTAGCTTTGAAAGGCCTATAAACCCGCTGCTGGGTCCAAATTTAAGGAGTACTATAGGTCCAGATGTCTTATAAAGATTTATATAAATAAAATTGATTTAACTTTTATATTTTTAAACGTTCTGTTTGGCCTAAGCAACTACATGGCCCAGTCTACTTTGGATCCAAGATGGCTGTCACATTAGCCAACCTAATCTACATAGCTTTGAAAGGTCTATAAACCCGCTGCTGAGTCCAAATTTAAGAAGTACTATAGGTCTGGCTGTCTTATAAAGATTTATATAAATAAAATTCATTTTCTAACTTTTATACTTTTAAGTTCTGTTTGGTCTAAATGGCTACATGGCTGAATCTATTTTGGATCCAAGATGGCTGCTACATGAGCCAATGTAATCTACATAGCTTTGAAAGGCCTATAAACTCACTGCTGGGTCCAAATTTAATGAAGATTTATATAAATAAAATTAATTTAACTTTTTTATATTTTTAAAAGTTCTGTTTGGCCTAAGCAACCACATGGCCCAGTCTACTTTGGATCCAAGATGGCTGCCACATGAGCCAACATAATCTACGTAGCTTTGAAAGGGCTATAAACTCACTGCTAGATCCATATTTAAGGAGTACTACAGATCCGGTTGTCTTATAAAGATTTATATAAATAAAATTCATTGGTTGTTAACTTTTATATATTTAAAGGTTTTGTTTAGCCTAAGTGACCGCATGGCCCAATCTACTTTGGATCCAAGATGGCTGCCACATTAGCCAAAGTAATCTACGTAGCTTTGAAAGGCCTATAAGCCCGCTGCTGGGTCCAAATTTAAGAAGAAGTACTATAGGTCTGGCTGTCTTATAAAGATTTATATAAATAAAATTGATTTAACTTTTATATTTTTAAAAGTTCTGTTTGGCCTAAGCAACTACATGGCCCAGTCTACTTTGGATCCAAGATGGCTGCCACATTAGCCAAAGTAATCTACATAGCTTTGAAAGGCCTATACACCCGCTGCTGGGTCCAAATTTAAGAAGTACTATAGGTCTGGCTGTCTTATAAAGATTTATATAAATAAAATTTTCTAACTTTTATACTTTTAAGTTCTGTTTGGCCTAAATGGCTACATGGCTGAATCTACTTTGGATCCAAGATGGCTGCCACATGAGCCAATGTAATCTACATAGCTTTGAAAGGCCTATAAACTCACTGCTGGGTCCAAATTTAATGAAGATTTATATACATAAAATGAATTTAACTTTTATATTTTTAAAAGTTCTGTTTGGCCTAAGCAACCACATAGCCCAGTCTACTTTGGATCCAAGATGACTGCCACATGAGCCAACATAATCTACGTAGTTTTGAATGGCCTATAAACTCACTGCTAGATCCATATTTAAGGAGTACTACAGATCCGGTTGTCTTATAAAGATTTATATAAATAAAATTCATTTGTTGTTAACTTTTATATATTTAAAGGTTCTGTTTAGCCTAAGTGACCGTATGGCCCAATCTACTTTGGACCCAAGATGGCTGCCACATTAGCCAAAGTAATCTATGTAGCTTTGAAAGGCCTATAAACCCGCTGCTGGGTCCAAATTTAAGGAGTACTATAGATCCTGTTGTCTTATAAAGATTTACATAAATAAAATTCATTTTTAACTTTTATATTTTTAAAATTTCTGTTTGGCCTAAGTGACCACATGGCCCAGTCTACTTTTGATCCAAGATGGCTGCCACATGAGCCAACATAATCTACAACATAGCTTTGAAAGGCCTATAAACTTGCTGCTGGGTTCAAATTTACAGAGTACTATAGGTTTGGTTGTCTTATAAATATAATTATATATAAACCAATAGAAGGTGTGGAATTGTACTGATGTATTAATATTTTATTTTTATTTCCAGTAACAAGCTAACAGCCCACTACAGCCAGGAATAGAATTCACAGAACCTGACTACAGAGGATCAGTGTTCTATTAAGCTTCTGGAGTACCTTATACATTTGGAAGGTACAGTGCACTGAGAAGTTGACATGCCATTTATTTGTGTGGCATACCATCAGCCAACAACTTTCCAGTTTGGGGTTCTGAGATGGAGGATAGGCCAATATTTTGACCATTGAAAGTGCAAGATGGCTGTAGGCGCCTTGCTAAGATTTGGACTGGGGCAAAGCTGAGACAGCTATCTCTGTAATCCATCAACTATTCATATTAAATAGTTCACTTTTTGAAAAAAAAGGTTAAAAAATGTACCAATAATGAATTTAAAAAAAAATGTCAACTACATTTTTTACATTGAAGCCTGCAGAGCATTGCAACTACAGTGTGTCACAGGTGCAATGCACAGGCTCCTGCATTGATGGGCCCAGCTCCAGATTGGTACAGAGATACAGACCTCCTATTATGCGGCTGGAGGAAGTGGACAATGGAATACTAGTGTGCTGACGTCACCTCGCTGTTTCTGGCATGATCTGGGAGTCCTTTTGCCATTGTGGTCTTGTAGTCTTCCCATTCACAGATCCCTGTTCAGATCGCTTTTTGATTGACAGGCGGCGAGGAGGCTTCCTCACTGACTGTTTGAACCCCATCCTTGCCGAACCAACAGGCATGTGTGGTACTTCCCCATTCACTTCAATGGGTCGCGTTCACTGGCCTTTTGGATAGTTTTGTTGCTTTCAGGAGGCATCATGACCACAGCATGTAAACACCCCTGTCCGCTGCCACTGCAGCTTAAGGGAGAGGTGGTTCAGGAGGGAGCTAAAGGCGCTGATCAGCTGTGCATTTTTACTGCCCCCCAACATCACGTCTAAAACCTAGCCTAATTGTATGCGAGCGTGCTATCAAGAGGCTTGAAGTGGTTGTATACCCTTACATATACCCAGTGAAGTGACTGGCCTCAGGTGATACATAGAGATTAAACAAATCCTCCCACATAAGTTGTACCTGTTTATCTATAGCTGTCTTTCTCCTATATCCATTCAAAGTGCAGAATTTACACAGAATCTCTCGGCTCTGAAAAGCAGGGGGCGGGGAGCTAATGTTGCACTCAGTGAGGAGAGCTCTGAGAGCTGATTGGAGGGGACACACCCACTTCACACAGGAACAGAGCCGAGGCTTTCAGTCACAAGCTGTGTACCTGAAGCTCCTTCCCCATCACCTTTTATCTACTGGTGTCAGGAAAACGTGTCAGAAGTGATTCATGCTGAATGAGGCAGCAGACAGAAATGATACTTAGTACTCTTGATTCAGGCACACACACACTATAGAGG